AGAATAAAAAAGAGAAAGAAATATCTGTAAAGTGGCTTTTGAAATCATTTAAAGCTTGATCATCTAATGCCTATAAAGAGTAGGTGTACAAATTATTACATTGAAAAATGGTATTGTTATTTTCTATTAACATTTAAGAATCTGTAGTCAATTCTATTCCAAATGGTTATCAATACTTTTCAGTAAAATCTAATCTAATCTATCTCTTAATTTTCTCAAAAACCAGGAGGCCAATCTTGTCTCAAAAAATATGACTTTTGTTCTGATACTGTGGCTTTAGTTTTACAGGGTAGAGTAATCAATGTTATTACATTTTTATCCTCTAATGCTTCTCTAAATAGAAATGAGGTCTCTTTATTTGATTTGGGAAATTGAATGCCAGTTGGGGAATTCAAAACAGTGTTGGTTTCAAGCTTGAGTTCTTCTGCATAGTACCAAGTTCTCTTCCTTGGCCCCAAGGCATGCGTCTTGATGAGAAAACATGGGCAAATGATGAATCCAGGATATCCTGAGACCATCTTGCCTGTATACTTAACATCGTCCTGAAATTCTGTCCGAATGTGGCCCCGTGAATAATAGAGACACATTCAGATAGAATCACATTTGGACATATCAGTCCAAATTACACATCCAAAAAGTAATTTGGACGTCAGTGTCCAAATGTGATTTTGATGGCTATAGGCAGAGTAAACCGGAGTATGTAAGAAACAAGATTAGATCTATACCATGGCACTGCTTATTTATTTTTATATGGGAAAAATGCCCATCTGAGTGAAAATTAACTGTTTCTCATATATGAAGCCAGATCCAAAGTTGGAAGTCTGTTCATCACCATAAACTCATGAGAAGTGGAATAGCACGTGTGATACAATGTGCCTAAATGATTCTTATATCACTGAACCACAAATGTGATAGAGCTCTGCAGTTTTGTTAGATTTAATAACAGAAAGCAGTAAGGAAGCTTTGAATTACTAAATACCGATAACGTTCCTTGAAGAACAAAATAAATGAATATTTCATAATATGCAATCACAGTATCGGTCGGTCTCTACCCTGGTCTCAGCAGCAGAACACATCTTGCCACATAATTCTCTTAATTCAACATTTTCATCTTGTGTTAAAAATATGTGATTTACATTTATGCAGAAGGAAAGACAGCCATGACTCTCTTAACATTTATATACAATCTGTGTATGAAACTGGCTATACATCCCTGGTTATGAAGCCAAGGGAACCTCAATATTTGCTGTCAATCACCCTCTGGTCAAATCTCCCTACTCATCAGTCTGATTAGCTATCTCCGGACTGTTGCTCAGTGAAGAAAGAGTTACAGTTAGTCTTCTTGTTCCAATTAGGATCAGAAAAAAATGAGAGCCCTCTGGGCAGGAGGTGAAATAGTTTAAAGCTCCTCGTGGAATAGACTCCGTTGACAGACAAGCAGGCAATGACTGCCATCAGTGATTCTAAATTAGAACAGAGATAGCAGGTAAAAAATAATCCCAGTTTTGAATAAAAAACGGTTAAGTGCTGTCACTTTTCACAGTTAAAGATAGCATGACCTAGCGGAATGTATGTATTCTTTGGGCTGGCTCTGCCACATGGCATCTTGTGACAATTTAAGCTCTCTGAGGTAAACTTTCTCATCTGTAAAATGGGTTATAATAGCAAGCTTTCAGGATCATTTTGTATATAAATATAAATATATAGCCTAGGATGATGCTAGAGCATTGCAAGCACTCAATAATTTATGACCCAATGTCCACAGATTTCCTCAGCCTTTACTTAAGCATGTTGCTAGCTTACCAACTACTGCCTCCCTCCCCACTAGATAAAGTCTCTCACAGTTGTTTCTGGAGGTCGCCACAGTGTGAACCATAGTGCCACAAGAAGGCAGTTTGCTCCTGTTCTTCTGTCCTCCTCAGGAGGCCACCTCGTATGTCTCTTTGAGAGAGGCACCCTTCCCTATGTCCTTGCTCCCAGTGCCCTCTGGGAGAACTCTGCTCTAATCAAAGACCCAGTCAGAGATATCAAGAGGCCAGTGCCATGCAATAGATGAGGACAGAAAGGAGAAGATGGCCATCGTCCTTTTTCACCAGGACCTTGAAGCCCCCTTATGTGTGATCCTCCTGAAAACAGACCTGTTCCCTTCCTCTGCTTCACTCTCAGGATGACCCTGACCTTGGAATCGTGCTGGGAAGTCAGCCACGCTTGTGGGCCATTTCTCTGTCCCTTCCCTCTGTCTCCAGCAATGCACTATTTTTTTCCAGGCTTTATCTCACCCTCCCAAGAACCCTGTGAGATTGATATTTTTAACTCCAATTTATAGATGAAGAGACTAAACCTAGGAGATTCAGAACACCATCCATCCTCCTCTTTCTGCCTCCTTCTGATAAATGCCTGGGATATCACCAGCCTCAGATACCCATTCTCCATTCACATAAGCCCTAAACTTCCTAAATGGTAGAAATTATTATTATTACCTTTCCACTCTGTCAGGTAAGGCTGGAGCTTACACTGCTTCAATACTAAGCCTAGAGAAGTGTATAGAGTAAGAATTGTAGTACGAAAGTTGGAGTGGTAAAGAGAGAACGGAGGCAGGGAGTTAGAAGACTGAGGAAAAGAGTTTTAAAAACCAAAATGTGGTGATTATAAAAAATAATGTAGAAGGGGTGAATCTAAGAGAGTTTATGCATCATCTCTTTTTTATTAATCCTTTTTTTTTCTGATTTCTTACGTGGCACCAGCTACTTCTCTCACACTTCCCCCCAAACTTCCTGTCCTGATCTCTTCCTTAAAAAAAAAAAAGAAAAGAAAAGTTATGCCATCTTCTAGAGAAAGAGCAAGACTTTCTCTTCTCTTTCTACTCTCCATTTCCCTAATTCATCCTTTGATTTCCAAGTACAGAGGGGAAATAATTGAGGAACCATTTTTTGGTGAGTGAAGTTTTGATCCCAGTCTACCAGAAATCTCTGGAGATTACTTTCAAACCAAAACCAATTTTATAGCCAGTAGAAAACTTTAGTTTCATGGAATGAAAAGCTAGAAGAGAACAGTCCAAGAACGTCTTTCCAAAAAGAAGGTACACAAAGTACACTTGCCCACATACTACCAAGAAGTATTCTCTTCCTTAAACAAAGAAATAAAAAAGAGACACCCTCTATTGATAATGCTTTGTGCTGTTTATTCATGGCTAGTGAAAGATGCTCTGGTTATCAGTCGCTTTATTTGCCAAGCATAATTTTTCATGGGAGATGTCAGTTATATTTTAGCAAAAGACCAAATTCAATTTCAATTCTCTTTGCAGAAGTCTTCCAAGTAATATAGAACGCACAAGATAGTATCAGTGAAGAAAACAAGGTGCATGCACTTTAATAAAATGCAATTGTTCACAAGTTTTGTTACCGATCCATTTTCTACTAATATTTTAGACAAAAGTGTTCTAATTCATTCAGCTCTAATGCTTTGGGTTTTCTGCATTTCCCAAATTACGTATCTATTTTCTGCTGAGGTCTGAAAAACAAGGAGAGGTGAGACCAACAAGATATTTGCATACAAACCAATAGAAAGGGATGATGTTGCATCATTTCATTTTTCTTCTTGTCTGCTTACTTCTTATTAGCAGCTTAAAGTGATTCTTGTATCAGGAAATTAATAGACTTTGAAAGCTTTCCTGGTTACCACCACTCACATATTCTTCTTTCTTCCAAGGCCTATTCTCTCTTAATCAGAATTCTCAGCAAAGAGGGGAGTGGAATGGACATGGACACCCCTAAAATGTTCAGATGCTTTGTTATTAGCACACCTCTGTCAGCTGCATATTTAGAAGTCCTGGGAAATTTTAACTTTTTTATATTGAGAAATGGACTGAGATCTTAAATTAATATTTTGTTCATTGCTTTTTCATATTCAAATACTTTAAAAAAATATTCACTAATGGGGCTGGCCCAGTGCATAGTGATTAAGTTCTGGTGCTCCACTTCAGCAGACCTACACACTGCTCATCAAGCCATGTTGTGGCAGCGTCCCACATACAAAATAGAGGAATATTGGCATAGATGTTAGCTCAGGGACAATCTTCCTCACCAAAAAAAAAAAAAAAAAATCACTAAATATAGGACTGATAATTTAGTGATTAGTTATTAAAAGTGAAATTATGTGTATTAATGCCTATGGATCCACCTCAAATGTTTCTTCATATTTAATGTGTTCTTTCTTCACATGCTAGCTATGAACTTTAATTTGGTGCCTCTATCCAAAAACCAAGAGCAGGTGAGACATCCAAAAATATCCTCATTTGCATCTGTTTTCCTTTTTTATGAGAGAGAGGGTCATCCCGCCTGATTTTGCCTTCACAACAAAATAACTAGTGACAATTTGGGAATTAATTCACTGTTCATCTCTCATGCTGGCATGTCAGGCCCTCCATCCCTTGGTTCTAATTGATGCTAAATTACAAGAGAGCAGGACAGGAGACTTTGGTGGCATTTTTCCATTTCAGATAGTTGTTAACAGAGATGATTAATAAAAGTCCCTTGGAATTGGAGAGATTAAGTGAATCAGATCCTCTTTATTTTGTCTTCTTACACAAAACATGCTATTATAGGGTTCATATGTTTAAAAAGTAGTGAAACAAAATATAACAAAATTATCCCATATTTATAAAATATAGATCACTTCCTTCCTATAAAAATTTAAGATCAGTTCTCCAGAATGAAAGAGATAAACATGTATAGATGCAAATCAATTTTGTATTGGTTTCTTATTACCACATTAAAGAGAAAATCTGAGGATATAAGTTATGACTTAATTTTGATTTTGAATGCATACCGCTACCAAATATACATAAAATAACCATCACAGAACGAAACTGATACATCCAACAGCTGGCTGCATTTAAATGATTTTAAAATAAGTGCTTATAAAAAGTCAATTTTTGGTGTTTTGCTGCTTAGGAACAAAACAAATCACAAATATGTTTTTATGTTGATTTTCTCTGACAGGACTGGGAATTCCCACATTTCATGGGAGATGTTGATGTAAATCTCCCTGGGTTGCACACCCCTCACATGCAGTTCAAGATTCCTTTCTTCCAGAAGATCTTCAAAGAAGAATATCATATTCACATAACAGGTATGTTATAACTTTGAACACGATTTCATTCTCTCCTAGTTAAGTAATACTAACTGCTGTAAAAAAAGCAAACGGGGACATTTTAGAGGTGTACGTAAATACAGTTTTATTTCTCACTCACTTAACAATGCAAGCGGTTCCAGGTTGGCTGGGGGCTCCAGATCATCATTCTGGGACTTCTTAGACTACTGGTAGCTTTGACAATTTCAACTTCAACATCCAGTGGGTAGGTGAGAATAAAGAGAATGGAGAAAATGACAAAGAAGGCTTACGTATTTCTTAACCACCTGGCCTGGAAAAGAAACATGTCACCTCCACTCACATTCTATGGGCGATAACTGGTCAGCCCCACTTAGAGTCAAGGAGAGCAGAAAAATGTAGTCCCCAGTAGGGCAGCCACTTCTGGTGTCAGACCCAGTGTTTTATATAGGATTATCAGAGAGGAGGTTGAATTTTTGGTATGGATACTTAGCTATCTCTGCCATACTCCATACACCACTCCTTTTTTGTTCATTAAATGAGTTTCTTTTTCACAACCTACAGCTCAGTATATTTTTTCAACACTGACACTTTTTATGCTTTGTTCTTCATTTGCTGCTGAGATCAAAACACTGGTATCCTAGAGCTCCAATCAAACCATCTGCCTTTCGGGAGTTGGGCCACTTCTCATTTGAATGAGTAAAACCTGCTTCTGTGGCAGAACTCACGTTTGTCTCCGTGATTCTCTCGTGGATCCTCAGATTCGTTCACTTTCAGATATGTCCTGCTTTTGGAACGGCTACAATATGGCTTATTATAATATTCTTTCATGACATCTCAGTCATTCTCATCTAAAAAAGGCTTCCTGGAGTTACGTTTTGGACCTTTTTTTCTTCATAACAAGAAGCAGACAGCCGAATGATCACATAAAGGATAGCATTAGTTCCCAAGCTGTTCAAATACGGGGAGCAATGTGTGTGTGTTTTAAGGATGATGGCCTAGGATCCCACACCTGCTATAATAAAAACTGCTGAAGAAATCTGTGCTTACACTACCGTCTGTGCTGCGAATAAAAATAGCCTGAGCACAGAAAACGTGAACATCTGAGTATTGCAAAAAACCTTTGCTTCCCAACTTGGAGGCTGTTTTTTGCTTTGAGCATGAGGCAACCTTCCTAAATCGGAGAATGAGCTCATGAATAGGGAAGATGCAGCAGGTTTCTTTTCCTCTTCAGAATGAATGAGGCCCATCTATTAAATTCACTGGGTAAATCAATCAATTTGAGTTCAGCTCACATAGTGTGGTTTCCGAGTCCCCACTTAATCTCTGCAGCATGCTACCCTCTCGGACTTCTAAAACAGCTATCATGCACATGGCATCATCATATCCCTTTGGGTGGGCTTTTGCCTGGACCATCTGTTCTTGCTCTCGGCTCTTGTCCCAGGCTATCATGGCACTAATATTGTCCCTGACTGAGTATCAGAATCCCTGTCAAAAATATATTGCTTTAATCATTATATATTGAATATCAGCTTTAAAAAAGGGGGAAAAAAGATTCAGAGAACTCATTGGTAAGAAAAGAAAAACTTAAAAATGTTTAATTTGGGGCATTTTGGTATGGCTTTATCATATATGCTATTATCAATAGACGGGGCAAGTTCAAGTTTTGCAGTGCCCAAAGCTTACACAATTTTGAATGCTCTGTTTAAGAATACAAATACAATATTACAACTGAAAATTCTACTCAGTGCCTTGGAAGGGGGCTGTTCATACGGGAGTCGCTGAAGCTTCCGGGTCATTAGCTTCAAGGTAAAGCCTGCTGGGCGTTTGAACTAAAACCTTTGTCTCACCAAATCTTATTTTGTAAAAACTTCAACAGAGGAAAGACTGGCTAAGTTTTTGTAATGGAGGCTGCATGTTAATAGTTTGCCAGGAGGTGAAAATATATCGTAATTAAGGCTTTGCTTCAGTGTTTGCCAATTTATGCTGGTTGTTGTGTCATCCGGGGAACTATAAATATACAAATTGTTGGGCCTCATTCCTAACAGTTCCAGCCCAGTAGGCCTGGGCAAAGGCCAAGGAATGGGACTTAGCAAAGCGCCCCCGGATGATGCTGATCTTTGGGACCTGCTCCTTTCTGATTGAGAAGCCGCAGATGTGCTCAGACTGCCCCCCGAAATGAGCCGTGCAAATGATTGGGTGCCTGGACGTGCGGGGAAGCCTTTGGAGGATTCTGGAGTTTAAATTCAGAGTAAAATAGGGTACATGTGTGTTTTGGGGTGAGGAGCTCAACCATAAACACTTTAAATGCAATTTGTGCTAAGATGTTCATGTGCCTCCCCACATCCACGATAAAAATTTCTAGGAAAATGGCAACAGGTTTGGAAGTTGGAGAAAGTCAGAACCTCCCCCTCTCTTGTTTTTGTTCTGTTACTCTCTTTGTTCTGCTAATTGGCTGAAGACTTCACTGAGGCCACTCTAAAGAAGCATCTGGTCTTCTATGGAAGGCCTTTTACTTTATCTGACTTTGTAAGATAATTGTTTGTGGGAAAACATAGGTGAAATTTCCAAAACCCGCTGCTACATGTTGTAATTTAATATGCTCCGTAGTTAGTAGCCCATAAATTTCCAAGTGAACTGCAAATGCCAACTTGATCAGCTCCTCCAAGTTCTGCTTCTTTTTGTAGGGAGACTAACGCCTTCCTTGATAAGCAAACATAGTGTCACCACTGGGGTTATCAAGCATGAAACCCCCTATATCCATCACTGCTACTCAAACTTCATTGTGTATGAGAATCACCTAGAGAGCTTGTTAAAAAGATCCATCAGCCATGCACCCAGAGTTGGAAGTCTGGGATGTAAGGTGGAGCCTGGAATCTGCCCTTCTCTCAAGCACCACCAGTGATGCCTCTGCAGTCTGCAGAGGACCACTCTTCCAGAAACGCTACTGTTGAGAAACATTTCTGTAGTCAGAATTCCTCTCATCCCAGCTTTATTTTTATATGCAACTGTTAAAATCAAAAGCCAAGGGATGGAGTGCGAATTCAATAGGAATGGGGTAGCCAATGAGAAAGGCACGTGATAGACTCCTGCCAGGAGCTGGAAAGTTCAGAGCTGCGGCCAACAGAGGAGATCTCAAAGCAGAGTATGACTAGGTGAGCACAGAGGAAAGTGGAGCCTGGAGTAGGATGGGACCTCTAGGCGGCTCCATCTTTTGCTTTCTCTGCCTGTATTTGTTCCGAACCAGAAGAGCCTGGACAAGGAGTGGTAGGTTTCTCCCCAGGTCAAGAATGACTCCTCTGTGGCCTCAATGATCATTTCTCTGTGATCTAGAAAAGACATTTAACATGCTAAGGCAATGGGATGTAAAGGTTTGGTACATGGGCTCCAGCTCTGCTACTGACTGGTGGCATGGCTCTTGTCAAGCTTCTTAACCTCTTAGAGGCTCGGTTTTCTTATCTGTTAAATGGGGCCAGTAATAGTACTAATTCCATAGGGTTGCTGTGAGAGTTAAATGGATAGGTACAAGGCCCTTAAAATCCTGCCTGCCGTGTAGTAAGCACTTAATAAACTCTCACTATTTGTACCTAAAGCTTTTCCTTTCGTCTATCCAGATTTGTGTTTCTTATTTAACTAAAAACCATTAGGTTGCCTGAGAGACGGCTCTCTTATTATTGATTGACTACAGTACCCCCTCCCTTACCCATGATTTTGCTTTCTGCAATTTCAGTTATCCACCGTCAACCGTGGGCAGAAAATATTAAATGGAAAATTCCAGAAGTAAACAATTCATAAATTTTAAATTGCATGTCGTTCTGAGTAGCATGATGAAACCTCAAGCCCGCCCGCTTCTTCCTGCCCTGCAAGCGCATCCTCCCCTTGTCCAGTGCATCCACACTGTGTACACTACCCACCCGTTAGTCACTCAGTAGCTGTCTCCATTATTAGATCAACTGTGGTAGTATCACAGTGTTTGTGTTCAAGTAACCCTTATTTTACTTAATGATGGCCTCCAGACACAAGAGTAGTGATGCTGGCAATTGGGGTATGCCAAAGAGAAGCCGTAAAGTGCTTTCTTTAAGTAAAAAGGTGAAAGTTCTCGACTTAATAAGGAAAGAAAAAAAATTGAAAGCTGAGGTTGCTAAAATCTACGGTAACTTTTATTACAGTATATTGTTATAATTGTTCTATTTTATTATTAGCTATTGTTGTTAATCTCTTACTGTGCCTAATTTATAAATTAAACTTTATCATAGGTATGTACATATAAGAAAAAACATAGTGTATGTAGGGTCCGCTACTATCTGAGGTTTCAGAGATCCGTGGGATTCTTGGAACGTATCCCCCACAGATAAAGGGGGACTACTGTATTCTGAGTTCTCTACTGTTATCTACTGATCTGAGTCCTCAAGAAGGAGAAAACAATGGAAAAACCTCTCTCCCAATGAAATGCTCTGTATGTAGAGGGTTATCTGACACTGATGAGTTCCCATTGACATTTTAAAAGCATTTAGGATCTGAGTATTTTTTAATCCTGATTCCAAGCTAGTTTTATTTATGCATATCAGAAATAACTTGAATTGTTGCATCTGTTTAGCTCATCTGGATCCCCCTTGACAGATGGTTTGCTGCAGCATGTTTGAGCTTTCATTTTATAAGCTGGGCTACAGCTTATAAAAATAAATCATTTCTATCCGAGGGTGTGTTGAAATATTTTTTCTGGGAATTTTGACTTCAGTAACAAAGGGGATAAATGTTAGTGATTAGGTCACATTGGCACTTTTAGCCGAAGTCCATTGTTCTTCTCCTAAAAGTAAATGCTCAATGCAACCGTGTAATTACTCCTTTGTCCTCTTCCCTTTTACCTATAAGGTACGTGCAAAGATGGATTCAAAATGTGCTGTACTAAGTCTCTGGAGGCCAGAGAGGAATGGCCTCTCAATTCCATCTCAGAAGCTCCTCTGAGTCCTATTAATGCCAATCCCGGTGGAAGCTCTGCCATCTGTCATCCCAGCCAGACAAAGGAAGTGGCCCATTGGTGGCCATCATCTGAGTAAATTAGGAGGGGGTTGGGGGAAAGGCCAGAAGGAAGGCCTGTGCATCTGCGAGGAGAGAATTCACACTGTTGGCACGATGATGCCCACGGGAACCCTTTGGGCAAAAACGGAAAACGCAGAAGTAAACAAGCCTCCATAGTGTCTGTGTTCTATTTCAGTTTCCTGAGCAGTGTGAGGGCACAGGTGCTTTACGATGGTGAGAATGTGGAAAATAATGAATAAATCTCCTTTGTTTTATTTCCATAGGTGTATGATTTCTGGCAAATCAGTTCCCAGAGATTGTTTTTTAAAGAGCTCTCCACTGTCAATCAGATCATGGGAAGCGCTGGGAAGCACAGGCCAGTGGTCCATCCAGCAGAATATTCTGACAAAATTAGCAAGGGACTTGTTATAGGGAAATGTGATGCATCCTGTTCACCATGACAGTCCCCCAAGATTGTAAATTTATCCAAAGAACACAAGAACCTCTTGCTATTCTCTCAGTTGTGAATTTCTCTAAGCCTTTCCTGCAGCAATTTCATTTTCAACACCTTTGCACTGCTCCGAGCGTTAACTATGTTTACGTCTACATAAAGCAGCAGCTCCTTTTATTTGTCTAAAACTCAGTCTCCTTCAAGGCCATGGTTGCCCTGCCCATAGCCTGTCAGTCCTTGCTGCCCCTGAGCTGACCTGCCGTGCCCAAAGCGAGGCATCCTGTCTTCATTTATGCATATTTGAGGATTTTTTGTAGTAGAACTCACATGCTCTTCAGGAATTGTCTTCTTGGTCAGAGGAAGAGCTTGTTATATATAATTAATCATCATCTTTGAGACATGAATATTTTGCTTTTCCCAGTTTCCTAGATTTATCTGATTTTAGCTGTATCCTGGAATTTACCAGATCATGGCGACATATATATTTAATTTAAAAGACCAGAACTTCACTCATTGTATTTTTCTGGACACTGTCTCAGAGTTTACCTGTTGACTAACATACATTTTCTGAATTAATATCTAAAACTAAGCTAGGATCTAGGGAATACAGAAATGAACAGGTCACAGTGCCCAACCTCAAGCAAGTCAGAGTCTAATCGTCATCAAATTCAGTACAACTGCATAGCTTTTCTTTTCTTTCTCTTTTGATCATTACAAGTTGCTACCTCTACTCGTCTTATTGGATTATGTCCTAAAGGAATAGTCTCACACTTAGGAAGAAACAATGATAAGAGAGGCACTTTGAGAAGCTATATTCATTTGCTTTTAAGTCTTAAGAAGATACCTTACTATCTCAAATAACTCTTATTAATTCATAAATTATTTAGTAAATATCTTCAATTTGCTAAATGGTCTCTCATGGCCTAAGCACTTAATGTGGCTTCTAGATATCCCTAAATTACCTACGGAGAGCCTTGAAGAGATGCTAACTCACCTGCCCTGTTTTCTCTGCTCATCTCTGAAATGAAAAGACATTGAATATGGCCAAGAAGGCTGTTACAGCAAACTGTTACTTCTTTAATTATCCAAAACTCATCTCCTTCAAGACCATGGTTTCTTGCTGTCCCATAATGGATACTAAGTGGTTTTGTAGAGCGTGACTATTTCGTGTGTCTGCACTGGATGCCAGAGTCTGGCTGAGTGGTGGCATTCACTTGGTATAGAGGTGCCCACACACAGAACAGCTCAACCTCAATGCTAACTGGCAACTCTACTGAGTAAAAGATTCTTAAAAATATTATAATTGCATATTTGAATCATGAAAGGTTCATTATGTGGTGGAAATATCAGCACTTAATGGTCTTTTTCCTTGGTTGAAAAAAGAACACTTTCCCCCAAATTGTTGTCCTTTCCCATGCTAAGCGAGGGTGCTATTTAATGAAGACTACTTTTAAAACTATCTAGCCCAGGATTCTATAAACTCCCACAAAGTAAAAAGATAAAATTAACATTATAATATCATTTTTGACAATCACTAAGATTCATTAAAAGTGCAAAATACAAGAAAGAGGTAATCCCACCAACACCACGCAGTGATTTCTCATTAAAGGAGACAGTTAGATATTTCAACAGGGAGATTAATAGAAATAATGTATGGATTCTTACCCCACCTTCTTGCTGATTTACATTATGCTGTGTAGTTGAAACAACAGGGGGAAATGCAAAATTTCTCATATGATTAATGCTGAAATACCAAACCTCTTGTTATGGTTGATTGTACATTCACAACAACACACTTGGGAAAATGGCATTAGAAACACTTTCCATGCTTTTCTTTTTTGTGTTTTCTATCTTTTCCGTGTGGGTCATTTCAGGGACTCAGATTTATTTTTTATGGTAAACAGTGTTTCTCAGAATAGACAATCCTTTTTTCCTAAGGAAAGCTTTCTCCATCTGGAAATTGTGTATTCCATCTTTTTTGCTCTAATGATGAGATTTCCTGGTCCATCATACAACATTAAGGTTTAAGTGACGTTTATTTCACAAACCCATCAAAGAGACTTTTAGAACTTGGAAGAAACCTTAAGGATTATATATGTCAACTCCCTCACTTTGTGGACAATGACACTGAGGTTGAGTTGTCCAGCCTGATTTTGCTTTCTGGTTTGCCACACCTCATAGGGCAAAAGTAATTTTTTAAAGAGGAGAAAGCATTACCAAGGTAACAAAACAGTGGTGTGATAAAATGGAAGGATGGATCACAGAGAAAGATGAACATCCTTCCTCTGTACCAGTGGATAAGTGGACCAGAGGCTGTCAGGTGGGCCAGAAACAAACAAAAGGTAAGAGGAGCCATTTCTTCCACATTTTCAGCACTTCAAATTTCGACTGAGTGGCCCTGACAGTGGAGGAAGGACAATGCTACATCCACAGGAAAAAAAAAAAAAGGAAGTATGGTATCAATAGGGGTCCTGCCTCACCCTCTTCTCTCCACTCTGCTCTTTCCCACCCCAACATGACCTCTCTGCTGTGGGGAAGATGTAGGGACACTATCCCCTGTTGTTTAGCTTCAAAGTTTGTGCAGATAAAACAGTTTTTCTCAGGACCAATGTTACTGCAAGCTGTAGACAAATTACCAATTGCTAAGGATTTTTAACATGTTCAATATGCCGATTCACAAAGATATTTACGTATAGCTACACACTGGGTCCTCCTGGGTAACGGGTTCTGTGATATCTACCCATTGATGTCAGTACTCAGTAATTCATGCTGTTTTATCCAAACTAAAACATTTGAACACCTTTAGAATGTCTTTGTTACAAACCCTAACACGTGCTTCTCTCCTTCCTCTATGTGACCAAGATCCTGTAGTAACTGGATTGAAGAAGTAGAAGAAAGAAATTGTAGAAATGATACTGTCCTACATTTTTGGCAAACTTGCTATGTTTCAGAGAACTTTCTAATACAACTTCTCATTTTATCCTCACAATAATCCAATAATACGTTGGTTTTATTCTCCATTTCACAGAATGAAAAATTGGATTCACATAGCTAATAAGTAGAAGGATTTTGGCAATGAGGACAGAATCATAGAACTAGAACGCATGTAGTTCAGTATCCTCAATTCGAAAATAAGATTATTGAGGTCTGGAGGGGTTAAACAGGTTATCCAAGGTTGTGTTATTTGAGTGTCAGAATGAGATCTCCATCTGCTGATTTCCAGCCTACACTTTTTGTCACTATGCTGCTCCCCCTCACAAATCGGCAAAGGTGTGTTAGAGCAGGGTGATAAGATCAATGTCAGGCAACATATTTTTAATTTTTCTCCACCCCATTAACTATTCAAACTCCAGGTCACATGAGAAATAACATAAAGTGATTATTTCGTATGAAAGTTTTAGTGGTCAAACTGACCCAGCGCCATTCAATGTAGGTAGTCGAAAAATAATTTGAAAGGATGGAGAAAAGCTCCTTCTATCCTCAGGGTTCCTTTAGTTTGATCAGCATACATCCACTTCCACTTTGATTCTCTGATTTTACTTTTTTTCTTTGTCTATAAACATCCACTGAGCATCCTTTCTCCACCAGAAAAGCACCCTTTTCCAAGCTCCATGAGTATTCCTTTCTTCTCTCTGATTCTGTGATGCTTATCTTCAGTTTCTGACATCCTATTACCCTAGAAACAGGGACTCCTTCATGAGGGACTGCCATATGCATGAGTTTATGAAAATGACCTAGAGAGGGTGCAAGTTTCTTCAAGGGACCTTTGCGAGTCAAGATGATGGTTAGTCATACCATCACTGAATAACCCCTTGCCCTCACCATCCAGTCTGGCTTCAAAACAGACGGAGTTCATGACAGGAGAATTAGTATGGATCTCCTACAACAGAGAAGCACCGAAACCCCTCTCAACTTACTTTCTATCATGGAAGCTACAAACCAGTGCCTCCTTAATCCTGAATGAGAACCCCTGGACTTTTTCATATCACCTGTCTCTCATTCCGCTCCTGCCTTCCTTTTCCTTGCATATTCTCCATTCTTTTCCTTCTCTCTCCCCTCAGCCCCTCTCTTCCGCATCCCCAATCCTTTTTTTGCATGTTCTTCTATCTGCAGCATAATAAAAACATAAACTAAAAGAAATGCAAAATTTTCCAAACTGTCCTCTGTCTTGCTTTTCTTTCAAGGACCATATGAATTGCTGCGTCCTCTAAAATCCTTTTTGCAGAAATTAGCCCTCAGTTTTATTTCATTTTCTCAACATCTTCAGCATTTATGGTTTGTATCACTCATTTGACACCCTTCAAATGTGACCTCTGATTATTATTTATCTGTTGATGTCTCTGTCCTGTTAACAAGATGATAAGTTCCTCTCTAGAAGGAAGTAACAAATGTCCTCAGCATCTATTAATGTATCATACACAGGGTCTATTATGAGCGCAATACATGTTTGGTAATGATGCTCACCTGTGTATTTGATTGAATTTCTCTGGCTTGAGCTTTCTTAGTTTATTTTATGCTTTATTCTTAGTATATTTTATGCTTGATTCTTAGTATGAATCTGTTTTAGTTTTGAAGATCCGGGAGGGCAGGAGTGGTTCGAACTTAACAGTGCCAGAAGTTATAAATATGTTATTATATCTGGAAACATTTCCAGTGTGCCAACTTACTTTCTAGTTTGGGTGTGCAAAATAAATCACTCAGGCAAGACCTTCCATTACAAATATTTAAACCCTGTATAGTTGAACCATTTTACAGAAATTCTCTTCATAGAGAAGTTACACCTTTTCATGCAAATGAAGACATTATCATGTCTTAGGCAAGGCTTTGATGATAATAATAGGAACAATTCCTGAGTTCCTATTGTATACTAGGCACTGTGCTTGGCATCTAATAATCTCATGAAATGTAACAGCATTAATAAGTATTATTATTTTCTGCATGTAAAGAAATTAGGGTTTAGAGAATTTAAACAACTACCCCAAGATCACATAGCTAGTAAGTTTGGGAGCCAGGATTAAAACCCTTCAACCTTGCATATAATAGGAGCTTGAAAATATATAATGAGCATGATAAAACACTTTTCTAAACTCCTTCCAATGTTATATTTTTATATATGGCTACTTATTCTGTTAGGGTACATATTGCAGAACACATGTTTACCATTCTTGGTTTAATAAGTTTGCCCAAGTTCCTATCTCTGTCCTATCCTTAGAGTTCTATAATCCTCTGAAGCAGTAACTTAATAATGTTTGACACTGCTATCTTCAAATACAAAATAAAATAATCTTGAGATATTGCATGTAAAATAATTATAACTAAAGCTTTTAGAATCTGTTACACATATCATCTAATTTGGTACAGCAAACCTATGAGGTGGATATTAGTATATTGTTATAATACATTTAATGATGTAAAACTTGCATTAAATTATGATTATAATAAAAATTATAATGGAATCTGGTATCCCTTGAAAGTTTTTCCAGATTCTTTCCATTTAAAGATATAAAGAAATCACTAGCTAATATGTATCTAAATGATATCTTGTTTATATAAGATTTTTAAATACTACAAAGAAATCGTCTCAGTTACAATCTCTCCAAATTCTGTTATCTAAAGCAGTTCATTAGCTTTGGTTATGTTTATATGTCTGATAAATGGATCTGTTCAATGCGAATTTGATGCAATTACTTTTGCATCTTGAAATGAATGCTCAAGGTTTATTGATCTGAATCACATCAACTAATGGTTTAATCAACAGGTCACCTACAAACAGCAATTCGAATTCAATTGGTATACTGCTGTGCTTGCATTGCAAAATGATTTATTTCTTGCCCAGACATAATTATAAAACTGTAAGAGATGTTCAATCACATGTTGGGCTTTTCTGAGAGTTCATTAGAGCTTTGTTTTTAAACATTAATTGAAATGTTCTAGAGAATAACCTACATGGAACCCAATTTCAGTACAGCTGTGGTGCCTGTAGAATAGAGAGATTTAATCTGGTTAGTGTAAATACTGTAAATTATTGCCTCTGGGGCCTACACTTATGTCTTCATGTGCCTAGAATCTTTTTAGGAAATTCCCTTTGCCCATTCACTTAATGGCAGCATAACATGCTCAAAAAATTAATTGTTAACAGATCTAAAACATTAACAATTTATACTACTGTACCATTATCTTCATTTTATTGAATAAAACCCTATTGCAATTTTGTACATCTTTGACTCATGCAACATTTCTTTTTTAATGCAGGTAAATGGTTTAACTATGGAATTATCTTTCTTGTCTTGATTTTGGATCTCAATATGTGGAAGAACCAGATATTTTACAAACCTCATGAATATGGACAGTACATCGGCCCAGGGCAGAAGATATATACCGTGAAAGACTCAGAAAGTTTAAAGGATTTGAACAGAACCAAGCTATCCTGGGAATGGAGGTCTAATCACACTAACCCTCGGACTAATAAAACCTATGTTGAGGGAGACATGTTCTTACACAGCAGGTTCATAGGAGCTAGCCTTGATGTCAAGTGTCTGGCTTTTGTTCCAAGTTTGATAGCATTTGTGTGGTTTGGATTTTTCATTTGGTTCTTTGGACGATTTTTGAAAAATGAGCAAGGCATGGAGAATCAAGACAAAACTTACACTCGCATGAAAAGAAAATCTCCATCAGAACACAGCAAAGACATGGGAATCACTCGAGAGAACACCCAGGCCTCAGTGGAAGACCCGTTGAACGACCCTCCTTTGGTTTGCATCAGGTCCGACTTCAACGAGATTGTCTACAAGTCTTCCCACCTAACGTCAGAAAACTTGAGCTCGCACTTGAACGAATCTACCAGTGGGACAGAAGCAGATCCAGATCCGACGACTTCTAAGAGTACACCTACGAACTAGATTCACTTATGTGGAGATAGCACAAAAAGCAACCTTGAGTGTAACTTTAAAAAGTTAGTCTTTGCTTTTGTAAATGTAAGGTTTACGTAGTGTTAGGTCAAGAAATACAAACGATGCCACAACGGTGCTCAACCTGCTTTTTCTAGGACTCATTGTTTTCTATTTGTATTATGATACATGTGCCTACTGTATATCTAACGGTCCTCTAGAGATTGCTTTTCACAATTGCACAAGCTATTTACTGATTTTACAGCTTAGTAGATTAGCTGATTACCCGTGTATCTGATGTTCAACCATAGTGGTGCCTTGAGACATTAAACTGTTTTTAACTGTACCAGAAACGAAGTGTGGGACAGTTCTCTGACCGACTTCACAGGGGGCTTTTTGTATACAATTATTTTGATCTACGCTTGATGTCTGAGCAGGAACAGATATAGCCAAGATGTGGCTCAGGAAGTCTCGCCTGGT